AATGTGCTGTGGTGATGTTATTGCCAGTGCTGCCACCTTGAAGTCAGCTCCTGGCTGGCTGGACCCAGCACTGACCTAGCGCTAACTGCTCCTTCAGGAATTAAGACCTTCAACAAACCTGCATAATTCTGCTGTATGGCACTTATTCGTCTCGGGAGAGGAGTGAACTGCAGAGCCAGCGTTCCTCTTCAGAAACCTTGAAACCTTTCTGCACGATCAGATGTAACGGATGACCAAAGTCTGCCTAGATTCAAACAGCGGTTGGACAAATCCTGGACTATTAAAGAGACAATACCATCCGCAGCTCAGAAAGTGCTTGAGTTGTGTCTTGCCAGAAGCAGGGGCAATGTTAGACAAGTGTCCTTGCCCTGTCCCTTCAGCCTGCCCTGCGCTCCTTGACCACGTTGATCCTACTGACTGCTGCGGGGGACCGGCTGCTGTGCTAGCCGGACTTTTGTTCTGATCTTGCATGTACTTTTTAAGTTCTTATGTTAAGCTCAGTTTTTATCTTAAGTAAAAATATTTTTCACCTTTGTCCACGTGAGACAAAGGATCCTGACGTTTCTAGAGCGCAGACTCCATTCCTCTCATAGTCATCACATGGAAGCTACTGGGATACCGTACCAGGCAAAAAAAAGACAAACCAGCAGGAGTGTTTCCTCTCTCCAACTGGGAATGGCCCAGTTCAACATTATTTTATCCCCAATAGCTTTAATATCAGTAGTAACCAGATGCCACCCTGCTATAGGGTTACAGACTTGTTCTGCTCAGCAGCCCCCCACGCCATCTCACCGTCACTCCCAGACGGCAGGACAGGCAGCCTTCCCTTCCATCGCCAGGGCAGCTAGCCCTGTCCTTAGAGGTTCTCTGGCACCTTCAGGACAGGCAGGACTTCAGGGTGCTCCTCAGTGCAATGGAAAGAGCAGTAAGACTAGAAGCACTTCCAGACCTTGACGTGCTGCTCAAGTGATTTGGAAAGCCTGTTCCAAGCAGGACTTCTTCATCTTTGTTTGGAGACGTTGCTTCAACGACCCTCTGGGCGTGCTGCCTTCCCGGCTGCCACCAGCAGCCCTCTCCAGGAAAGCAAAATATCACCGCTCCACAACATCACCGCTCCACCCGCTCCCCCCCGCGCTCTCGGGACCCCTGGGATGCTCGGCCGAGGGCTGCTGTGCCCGTCATGCGCATCTCGGGCATTAGAGCCTGGTTTGGTTTGGTGTTCACACCGGCCGTGCTACGCTGCTCCTCCCACCGTCCCACTCCTCTCCCATGAGCTCTCCCTGAGCTGGCAGCCCGCCAGCGGCAGGTCTGCTTGCACCTCGTACCATCGCGCTGGCGAGCCCTGCGGGACCCTCGGCCCTACTTCGCCCGCCCTCTGCTCGGATGGGCCACCGTTCCCGTCCCTAAAGCAGTCGCGTTTCTTTCCAGGGAAGTGTATGAGTGAGAAAAAAGCAGGGATCTGACACGCAGACCTACCTTTTCGTCCTGGTGTTTGAACGGCTCGAACTCCTCCGTGCAGGCTTTGATCCTTGCCACCTTTGTCGACGTGCTCACTGAAGGAACGGGCACGTTACATCAGCCAGCTACGCTCCATCAGACCACAGGCCATGCCACCACCTTGCTGAAGAGTCTCCGTCTACACGGTTGTTCAGAACAGCCCCAGAGCAGGGCAATGTGGTAAAAACCCTACGGGTTGTGCAGACAGATTATTTTCTGTTTTACCAGAACCCATGTTATGTGGTAACGGAGAACGCTTCACTTGTTTCTCTGTGTAAAGAACGGACCATGTTTTTTAGATTTACAAACTGCAGGTTACTCACCACGAAGGGGGTCACCGGGACGCGTGGTCCCCACAACCCCCTCTCCCCACTCTGCTCTGCTCCACACAGGTCACGCCGGGGGGGTGAGCGAGGCGGCAGGCACCAAGGCACACGCTCGTGGCAGCAGCATGCCAGGGCACAGGCTCCCCACGGTGAAGTAAGAGTCTTCACGGGTCACTCACGGTCTATGGACCTTTGTTTTCTGAACCCAAAGGGAGGCAAACACCCACAATTTTTGACAGCCTATCGCTTTTTCTACCTAGACTCATTCTGCATAGAGAGTCCACCTACACAGTGCCAGCCAAGCTACACAACTTCACTATTCCAACACTAGGGGAGTTCAGAGGAGGCTTGCAGGGTAAATGAAGTCAATAACCAGAGGACTAGATGCTGGCAACCGCTTCTGATGTTCCCAGAAAGTAAATACTACCCTGGAAGATAAGCACTGACACTTCTCAAGGATTACTGTCATAAACACAAGCAAGGTAAGATTTCAGAGCACAGCAAGACCTAGCATTCCCATGCCCTTTATTGCAAGGAGAACAACAACCAGAAACAGAAAGCCTGCTCATCTGTTCTTCCCGAGTTGTTTCTTTTCACCTATTACAACTGATGGATCTATGGTCACCAGCAGGGAACAAACATCAAATGCTTTTACAAAAATAACAGTTTGTGTTCAATGGCGTAGATAATTTCTTCTGCATGTTCTGAAATTCCCTTCCTTACTCCTGTGCCTCCACGGATCTTGCACAATTTGATCTGTTTTAACCCAAAGGGAAAATCATGCTTGATATACAATAGAATCCAGCAGAGCATCTTTTGTATTTTTCTAGGCAGCTGGCGTGTCTTGTCTTTTCTTCTGAAAAGTCTCACAGACCAGAGACATAAATAAAATTTTCACATCTCTGGCACAGCGTAACAGATCTCAGGCTTCTTGGTCTGGTTTCAGAGCGGTAAGTTGATCTTGACTGCTGGCTGTAGGGGCTGCAGCTTGGAGGCAGATGGTATGGAAGAAGCAGACGGTAGTAAAGGAGATTGACTGGCATTAGGGAGAGAGAATGAACTGCTCCTAGGATGCCACTGATGGGGACAACGTCTTTGGTACTGCCCGAAGGATGCTGCTGGTTCTCCTGGCGCTAGGATCTCTGGCAATGAAGAAAGATGTCCCCTCCCTCCTATCAGTCCCTGTTGCCATACATGAAAGGGTATTCCCTACAGGAACTGGCCACTGCTGGACTCCCAGCGCTTTGCCAAAGGAGCCTTTCGAAATCTGAATCCACACAAGCGCACTCAGACATGGCTGGGAAAGAAGAACCCCACCTGTAAAAAAGTGCCATAGATGTCAACATTTCGGTTTGCTCTTAGGCTAGAGCTTGTGTCTTCCGTGTCCCGATTTAAAAAAGCAATCTCTTTTGCTAAGAAAACTTTCCCAGGGGAAAAGAAAAAAAAGTTTGATTAAAACATGTTTGTTGGTGGAAACATACACGGCCAAAGATAAAATACACAGTCGAAACGCTACCAACTAGTCCTGACCTCTGGTTCTACTTTAGAAATCGTTCTCAAAGTTCATCTTCTGTGAGCATATTACATCTACCTAATTAGATCAGGGTAGGTGATACAGAAATCTAAATGTGTCCATGTGGCAACTCTCAGTGGGAATTTAATTTTTCACTTCGCTGGGAAAAAACCCTGAATTCCCACAGATATGACAAAAGGTACCTAGATAAAAAGTGAAATAAAATGTCTTTAATATTTGTAAGTTTGTAGCATTGAAGTTGTCTAGATTTAGAGATAAGGGGTCTCTATAAAGATAATAATCCATTTTAACTCTGTCAAAGTACAGTAAACCCAAAAATTCAAATATTTTATTTACTTCACCTAAAAAACAAACAACCCATAAGTAAGATATACATAGGTTTCCCAGATTTATCCCTAATAAATTTTTTAAAGATTTATACAGTTTCTACAGAAACATACAGTGTATCAAAATCTGCATAAATCAAATTTATAAAATATGTAGAAATGCATAGTGATATTATTATCAACTTACAAAGCAAGAATATGGGAATTATTTTTTTCCAACCCGGCTATAGTAGGAAAAAGGTCATTACAGCAACAGCTTCTTACGATCTCATGTTTTGTAAAGTTTCAGTCTCACATACAGATTCATATTCACATACAGCATCAGCTTTCAATGAATTGCACAAAATACCCATTTAAAATGCACACCCGCACAATTTACGTGCTACCATTCTTTCTCTTATGCATAGTCGTATGATTAAATTAATCTACCCAACACACAAAAATAGAGTCAGTTTTCATACACACAAGGAACAAGTACCGCCACACGCCCTTATTTTCTTTTTCTTCCAGTTTCTCCCTCCTGTATTTTCTACTTTTCATAGCTCTGAAAGGATAGATGAGAAGTTTAAAGAAACTAGGAAAGCTCCCAAACTAATAGCTCAGTGCAGACAGCCCTATAAAGATCAAACTCTGTCACCAAATATGATACATAACCCTTGTTAACATCAATGGAAGCTGCATGCAATGCTAGTCTAGATTTCAGGGAAGTACTTTGTCATATTTAATAGTGTGACATGTTATAGGCATAACTCTAAGCAAATCAGTACGCTGATGTCAACATTTAACAGTCACAAAATCTGGAATAAGGAAGTGAGGACAAGTAATTTCTCCTCCACCTCTCTGTTCATTCAGAGTAAATATTTATACTCCCAGGGGAATTTGCATAAACTCCCTCCCAGAACATTTTCAGAAACTACTTCTTCGCATTCTATTCTGTACACTATAGCACCAAGCGGTTGTATTTTGTGTCCGTAATCCCTCAGGAAAAGTTTCCAATGACAAAAATAAGAAGAGAATCAGTGTGAATAAATGCAGTTTCAGGATTTCCATTTCTCTTTTCAAACCTAAATCTGGCATCCAAACTAGGTGACATGTTCTTGTGAAGAATTACGCAGATGTGTTAAGAAGCTGGATGTTTTTTCCTAATTAAAAGTTTTAGTCCACCTTTAAGTGATTTTCCACTTAAAATAACAATATAAAAGAAGCATTGGATTCTTTCTAAGTTTTACATAATTGTGCAACTTTATTTTATTTCTTTTTAAATTGTTTTTACGTAAGGCATGGTTTAAACAAGCAAGTTAGTGCTTATAAATTCTTAACTGGAATCGCGAGGGTGCTTACTTCCATCAAAATGTACCACAGTAGCACTAAACTCGACACTAAGCTCGTCCTTGCACCGTACACAGCGTCCAGTAGAAGTAGAGCAGCCAAACCGGGAACAGAAATTTGTCTTCAGTATCACAATAATCGTATGGGATAGTACGGTTCATCCCTACCCCTGGTGACGGCTCAGAAAAATCCACTGTATGATTTCCACCAAATGCTTTTCTTGTGAAAGAGAGAAATGAAAGAGGCACTAAATATGTTGAAATTCACCTTCCAAAAAAGCAGCATGACTGTGAGAGAAGGCCACCCTGGCTAGTAACCTGTGGCAGTGCTTAGTAAGATGCAAAATTAAATAAAAATATACAACAGGTTGATAATCACCAAGTTCTATGAAAAATCTGGTTACTCCAACCTTTTCAAGTGTGTGTAAAAAAACTGCCTTCAGACCCCTGAGTGTAATCCCAAAGAAGACGACAACGCTTTTAACTATGTTCCTATGAAACATAGCTAATAGCACATTAATTTACCGACATCTTAAAACAAAAAGATGTAAACATCTACAGAGTTTAAGGTAAAGCAGTTTTGTAAACATTAACTGCGGATGATAATGTTATTGTAATAATCACAGTTCCTCTACGTCCTTCATCCAAGCCAGGAGGCTCGCAGCTGTACAGAGTTAATGATTGCAGCAGTTTTCAGGCTATGGTCAGTCCTGTACAAATTAACGTGTCAGTAGGTAGGTTCTGTCTGTCTACACACTAAGGATGTTGTTCATTTCCCATTTTTGCGTTGCTTTACTGGAGTCACAATCTGAAATGAAAACTTGATGGAGGACTTCGGAGCGATCCAAGCACTTCCCTGATGGAACGTGAGTAAATCTGTGCAGATTCTGGAAAACAAAACCATTGGGAACATGTGTTGGGTTTTCTTTGATTTTTTTGAACATTTTCTTCACAACTGCAACACAACCGAACAGATCGGTTCTGTCTCCTTTTACTGTTTGTTAAACCTAGACTTTCACAGCCTTCATATTATGAAAGGTTTGATACAGAATCACAGAATCACAGAATGTTCGGGGTTGGAAGGGACCTCTGTGGGTCATCTAGTCCAACCCCCCT